GCTCCAGCCAGCTTGAAGTGCTGTGCTTTAACCTGCTGCGCCATCAGGGAGGGCCCAATTTGTGTTTTTAAAGCAGTTTTAATAGGTGGACCCCAATTCATACTAGACTATCTTTTATATATATATATATTCAAGGAAATTTGATATTACAAATTGTCAGTTATTTTAAGTATGATATTGATGTCAGACCATGCTTTTAAAATAATTCTTATCTTTTAGAGGCACAGACTGAAATAGTTCAATATTACCTCATAAAATGTCTGGGATGTGCTTCAAGAGACACATCACGGGGCAAGGAGGATGAGGGCAGGAGTATAATATCAGTAAAACAGGGGTGCTCTTGGAACACAGTTCTGGGAGCCGGGAGCTGCAGGAGTGGGAGGGGTCGTGGCTGGCTCAGCACCTCTTAGCTCCACCTTGAAAGGTGGGATTGAAATGTTCCATAATGAACATTCCATAAGGAATGTTTAATAAGCTTTATATTGTTTATACATGCACGAGTCTGTACACCTGTGCGTGTTTGTACATGCATAGAAAATCTCTCAAATGCTAAGTCCAGTGTTTGAATAGCTGCTTGTTAGGGTTGAGGTGGGAGGTTAGAGATACTTTGACTTTCATACCATAAATTTTGTCTTGATTTTTTTTAAATAAATTTAGACTACTTTCATCACTCCAAAAACCTAAATACCAAGACCTCTGTACAGATAGTCAACATTAGAAATCTTTGAACTGAGCCACCCCCCATACCTGAGCTGATCTTCATGTATATAAACCAGGACAAGGGAAAGAGTCTACTTTGATCATTTCTCAGAATTATAACCTTTAATCTGACACTTTAATGATTTAATTTCAGGCTGCATCAGATGGTTCCCTACAGAGGGAAAAAAATGCCTGTCAGTTGAAGCTTCTCAGAATGTTCTCCTGCACAGCCCTCCCCTGGTGGTGCTCACCCTCCAGCCTGTCCACTAGTGAGAACCCCGCACAGGGCAGCTGCTGGACGTGCTCTGGAGAGCCCGTCGCTGTCGAGGGAGGCCAGGCCCAGCATCACCTCGGCCTCTGTTAGAGGAGCCTATCCCATGAGCTGCGCCCTCTGCAGAGGCCCTCCGAGTGCTGAGCGTGCAGACTTCTGACGCCCGCCTGCTGATTTAGACATAAGTCTTCTAGGCAGGCACAATGCACAGTGCACACAAAAATGCCACCCGACGTAGCTTACGTTAAAAGAAGACCTGCCAAGGTCTGCTTGTTAGGACACCACATTGTTGCGGACCCCGGCCTGCCTGCAGGACTTAGGCCTTGACTCATGGCCAGGTACTGCCAGAGAGTGCCCTCGGGAGCCCCTGGAAACGACTTGTTCTAATTTTCTTTATGAGGAACTGAGGAGAGAGGCAAACACTGTGTGCCATGGGAGAAAATTTGTTGTGAAGACAGTCAAGTCTGTGTGGTTTTCCTAAGGAGGTCATTCTAGGGCGCACCGGTCAGGGTGGGGGTACTCAAGGCCTGCAGGTTCTCAGCGGCCTCGCGCTCAGGGCTGCTGTCACTTCTATCACGGTGCAGCCCAGATGCCCCCACGTAGCGGTTCTGAAGTCACCTAGGGCCTCGGCGTCCTCCATGGGAACATTCCAAGGTGTGGAGGGGCACACCAGAGGTCTGGGCCAGGCCTGGGCATGACATGTCCCTCCACCCATGTCTCAGTGGAACTCAGACACGTGTCCTACCTAACTGTAAAGGAGGCTGGGAAGTTGTTGTCACGTATGTCCAGGAGAAAGTGAGATGATGTCCGTGATCATTGCGTTCTACTGAATTTAGGGGATTTATTAAACAGGACTAATAGAAAAGGTATGCAGGGAGATACAGCAGAAAACAGAGAGGGGGTTAAGTAGATTTGTTGCCAGAGAACTCCAAGGTAGATAATTTAGCTTCTTCCTACAGGGCTGGTCTTTGTCCCCAGCAGGGAATGGTCCATGGGACAGGCTCCTCACTGCGAGACTCATTCACCAGCACCAGGTGCCGCCCAGCCGTAGCCTGCCCCAGGCACTCGTTAGTGGGGCCGGTAGCTTAACTGTCTGCCTCTCTTTCAGGGCTTGAGTAAAAAGGTCGGCGTGGCATCCTCCATCCTCCAGGGCCTCTGGATCTCCTACAGCACAGAAGGCCTTTCCATGGCCCTGGCGTCTTTACGAAACCTCTACACTCCAAATATAAAGGTAGATGCACAGTTTACAGGGAGATCAGAGAATTAACTGGGGGGGGGGGAGGAAGGGGGATAAACTAAGGTGGATGCTTAAACGGTGATGCTTAATGCGTTTGACTTGCCTGAGACTGCCTCCTAAGTAGTATCTTATTGATAATTTAATGTATTTGAAATGATTACGTTTTACTGTGAATTGATAGCAGTTTTACTGTGAATTTGACCCTCTGCCTTCCACACACTGACTCTTCGGGGACCAGGTCCTGCTACTTCTGGGGAGTAAATCAGTCTTAGAGAGTCTTTGTTTGGGTAACAGCTTTTCTGACCAGCCCCGTGGGTTTGCCTGAGCTGTTTGCCTTTGGAATGGCAAAGAGAACACATGAAGATGTAAAGCAAAGCAGTTGCTCAAGGGCTCTAGACCCATGGTGGGTCCCAGGTGACTGAATAAAAAGGTACCTAAGAGGCTGTGACTGATAATGCTGATGATTATTTCTACTGGTCTTCTCATTCCTAGGTCAGCCGACTGCTGATTTTAGGAGGTGCCAACATTAATTACCGGACGGAGGTGTTAAATAATGCTCCAATTCTGTGTGTCCAGTCTCACCTCGGCTACACGGAAATGGTGGCCCTGTTGTTGGAGTTTGGGGCCAGTGTGGACGCCTCTTCCGAGAGCGGCCTGACCCCGCTGGGCTACGCGGCCGCAGCCGGCTACCTGAGCATCGTTGTGCTGCTGTGCAAGAAGCGGGCCAAGGTGAGGGCGGCCACCTCTGCTGCTTCTGCCCTCCCCTTTCCTCCACTGTGTCACCTCGTGAGCCCAGGGGGGCCACGAGCCTGCAAGGGCAGATCCACGGGCATGCAGCTCCAGTGTTTGGCCACTGCGTGGCCAGGTCACGTGGCATCTGGACACGGCTCTAAAACCGTCCAGAGACACTTAGGAAACTGCACTTACCAGCAGCCACAAGTAGGCCGTGCAGGCAGCCCGGACGCCCTCTGCGGAGGGCAGAGTGAGGGAGAAGTGGAGGAGCAGGCACTCTGCAGTGGGGCGGGGGCTCGGGGCCAGGGCCCAGCCTTCAGTGTGAGAGGGGTGGCCATGGAGGTGAGAACAGAGACTGCTTCCTCTGCAGTCTAGGACTGAAAGGAGAGGAGAGAGGGAAGGCAGACAGTTTTTTAATGATCCATCACTAGAGATCTTGCCATCCTCGCAATAGAAAATGAATTTTGATCCTGTGGCAGGGGGTGGGGGGAGAATAGAGACCAGGTCCCCAGTCCTAGTCTTGAAGACCCCACTGCAGAGGAGTGAGGAGATGATTCCGGCTCTGGGGAAAATTCTAGCCGGTGGTATTTTGTCTTAGTCCTTAAAAAAACCTGAGGATTTTGGTGGTTTTGCAGTGAAATATAAGCAATATATGACTATAGCTCAAGTTCTCAGCCAGGTCCTTCCTGCTGCTCTGCCCTGCCTCTGGCTGCTGTGCGTCCCTCTCCTGCCCTCCTGCATGACCCAGGGAGCCCACTCCCGTGCCTCTGACTCAGAGAGGGGGCGCCGCCACCCTGCTTTGGGTCCCAATATTTGCTCAGCCTCACTCGCTGCATCCCCGTTCCCTGAACTTGACCACCTTTACTCCGTCCCCACACACCAATGCAGCTGGCCTCGCCTGCAGTCCCACTGCCGTCTGTGCCTTCCCTTCCACCACCACCCCCCACCAGCGTCCTCCCCTCTGCATCTGCTTCCCTGGACCTCCCTCACCTGGCTCCCTTGGGAGGACACGAGGTGTTAAACGTAAACTCTGGGATCCAACAGACGTGGTCAGACTCTAATTCACACTCTCTACTGAGTCACTTAGCCTCTCTCCACCTCACTTTTATCCTCTATAAAAAGATTAATAGGGTCAGCATGAGAATTAAAAGCAATAAAGCCTTTTTAAAGAGGGTAAGGTCTCTTGATCTCATGCAGTGTCTAATAAATAACTTTTTAAAAAGCAGCAGCCTCCTCAGCTTCAACCAAAGCTGCTGTCTCAAAAGTCACTACCAAGCGCCCTCAGCAAACACGGAGACCTGCTCCTTGGCCCCTTGGCTCACCGCAGTGCCACCAGGTGACCTCCAGCCTCGCCCTCCGGCTCCCCTCTCCTGGTGTGGCTGCCCGAGGCTGCTGGCTCCTGGCCACCCCGCGCGCCTTCCCGTGACCCAGCCCCAAAGTACTGGAGAGCACTGGCCAGTTACTTTCTTAGAAAGTTCTCCAGCTTAGCTAGTCTGATATCTTCTCATCGTTGGATTGAGTTTATGCACGAACATAGGGCAGCACCTCACAAATGCAGCGCTTCGGGGTTCCATGATGACGACATCTTAACACGGGCTCTCCTCTCAGCTAAGGGGGCATCTTCCAGGTTCCTCAACTCGGTGCTTTTCCTTTAGTGGTTAAGAAGCACCTCTAGGGAGCCGCCTCAAGACAGGCAGATGCCATTTCACATACTTTGTCCAATAATTTGAGGATGTGTCAGTGATGTTGCTGCAGTAATTATTGCTTAATGATCACCTAGTGGTGATTTTCTGTTTCCCTCATTCCTTCAACATTTGTCATTTGAAATTTTGCTGTAAGGAAGAGCTGCCCCTTCCCCCATCCTCATGGCATTATGGATTCCTGGGTATTTTGTGCTGAGCTTTGGAATCCCTTTTTGTTGCTACGAGCACTTTGTTGCTGAGATGGGCCATAGTTGGCTGTTGGGAGCTCCTCAGTAGGTTCCTGTATGTGTTAGGCCTCCTCCCCCCTGCACCCCCCACCATTTTATGAGGACCTCCTTACTTTCTGGGACCCCAGATGTTCCAAACTCATCTTTTAGGGGTACTGTCCCAACCCTGGAATCAACCATTTCTCCAAAGAGCCAAGATTTCTTTTATTCATCCCCCTAATTTTTGAAAATAGAGGTGAGTATAAAAATGCTCAGTGGCTCCCCATACTGCTGATTAAATTCACACCGCTTAGCCCAGCACTCGGAAATATCCCTAGCCTGTTTCCGAAAAGTCCTTTCAACTTTGTGCTTCAGACTTCCCTTCACACGCCCTCCCTTCCAAAACGAGAGTTAATCACTTAGCTCAACCACTAGGCCTTTTCTAGTCAGTTTGGGTTTCTGTAACAAAATACCAGAAATGGAACAGCTTGTAGACGACCTTTATCTCTCACATTTCTGGGGCTGGGCCCAGGATGAAGTGCCAGCTGAGTGGGTCTCCAGAGAGCCTCCTGGCCCCCGGACCTTCTCGCTGCATATACAAGAAGCCGGCAGCTGGGCTTCCCCCTCAGGAGCCGCTCGCCCTGGGAGTTGAAAGCCCAACATGTAGTTGGGCTGGGGAGAGGCAGGTTCCCTCGGAAACCACTCCTGATTCTGGCTGGGAATTCATTGTTCCTTCCTCTGAACTCCCATGCACATTACTTGCCTCCTGGCAGTGGTCCCATCCCCCTCTGTTGGACAGACCTCTGCCGTGCGGGTCACAGCTCCTCAGGCTGTTGAGACGCAGTCTGTGCACAACCACCTCATCCACCTTCTTATGCATTGGGGTGCCTGCACACAGTAGGCCGTGGCGTGCACAGCTGGGTGCAGCCAAGGCGCAGCAGAACCATGAGGCCTTCCATGCCAAGCACTCCAGCCACTGCTGGACAGATGCCCCGCCCCCGCCAGGAGAGGCTGCCCAGTGCCCAGAGCCCTCTGGTAGATGGGCCGTGGCCACAGCTGCAGGGATGTGGCCTGGCCCCGCGGTCCGAGGCCCTCTCCATGTGGTCTCGATGGTGGAGGTGCCACGCCCCCCCTGGAAGAGAGGAGTGGGCCCTGCCAAGGCCTGGTGGTCACATGAGTGAGTCACGACACATGAGAGGCCGCACTTCTTTGGAAGACCAGTGGCTGTGAGCTTCAAAACGTCTCTCTTCCCTTTCATGATCTCAGAGTCAGTTCTCTGGCCTCTCAAATCCTGGTCTGAAAGAACTATTTGAGGAAAAAGGAGAATCTACCTCAGGAGAACACAGCTAGAGCTGGGAGTTTGGGGGGTTGGTTTCTTTTGATACAAAAAGAAAAGGTCTAACCTTTTGGAAATGGCATTTCCCAGAGGGACGTCAGCCAGGATTGTGGCCCACGGTGAGCCAGCCTGAGGAGAGTGCCTCTCCCCCCGCATATTTTCTAAGATGGGGTCAGCGTGGGACGGTGCCCCTTCGTGGATGGTGAGACTGAATGGGGAGCACAGCCCAGGTCTTGCTCACACGGGCTTCCCGGCCTTCCCTCAGGTGGATCACTTGGACAAGAACGGACAGTGCGCGCTGGTCCACGCTGCCCTGCGAGGCCACCTGGAGGTGGTCAAGTTCTTGATTCAATGCGACTGGACCATGGCTGGCCAGCAGCAAGGGGTGTTCAAGAAGAGCCAGGCCATCCAGCAGGCCCTCATCGCCGCCGCCAGCATGGGTTACACCGAGGTAAGGAAGCAGCGGACGAGGCTTTGGGGCCTGGGCTGGTTTTTTTTTCCAAGTGTCGCATAGGAGTATTTAGGAAACCAGGAGGAGAGGAGTTGCGTTATTACAAAATTACCAGCCTCGTTAATGTGAACTAGCTTTTTAAAGGTCGCTGCTCTGAGGAATAGGAAGATTAAGCTCCATGAATTCTCAAATGCCAGGTACCGTAGCATTCTGAGCCTAGAACGCGTGTGTCAGAGGTGTGTGCTCCAGCCCCTCCCCCACTCTCCACCCCCACTTGACTGGCAGTGACACTAAAGCACAGGGGCTCGATCACTGACCTGTGCTCACAGGGAGAGCGGCGCGGAGGGGACTGGAATCAGAAGGGCCAGGTTCAGGTCCAGCTTTGCTACTCTGGATGTGGGCAATTCGTCCCACCTCGTGGGACCTTAGTCGCCCATCAGTAAAGTGAGGCTAACACATTTTTTTTTTTTATGCTTACAGAAATGGGGTACAGGCCAGAGGTGTGGTGGGTGAGAGGATTCGCCAGAGACAGAGTGGGGAGCAGAACAGGCAGATGTACTGAAACACTGCTAAGGGAGCAGTGGGGGGGTCAGGAGAGGTCTGCCGCCCCATGTGGGTCACCCCCGGGGCGGGGATCGAACTCACACTGCAGTGGCTGTGAAGAGCTTCATACTGTAATGCATTCTTTTAACAAGGCTGTTGTGATGGACACACTGTCCAAATGGCATGCCCGTGAATGTACTTACTAGTGATAATGCAGTGGCAAACTATATGGAATTATAGATCCTGGGGAAAGTTTTAAAAGCTACTCTGGGGAAAGAAGGTGACGAGAACAGGGGAGAAGGAAAAAGTAACGTGCCTAAACTTATTTTAAATTTTATTGATACAAAGAAGATGAAAGACACAATTTACCAATAATAATGAAATATACAAGACTCCTGAACTTTGCTAAGTTTGAGTCTATATCCAACCGGTGCTTTTGCCTCAGCCATGATTTGATAAATGGAGTTCACCCCAGCTTACTCTTTTCCCAACAATTTTAATAATAATCTGAAAAGCGATCTATAGTTACTCTTCACTCTCATACATATAGTCGTTAAGCTGCAACCACTAGCTCTCATACTAGATCAAGCCCTGACTGGTAGTGTCTGCCGGTTCCCAGGGTGTAGATACCCTACCACAGCCTGTTGTCAGCACCTGGGTGCACATCACGGTCTTAGGGCCCCATTCTGTGACACCCCCTCAGCACAGATGCAAGGACTGCAAATCGCCTGAAGATAGCGGGTAGTAATGAAAGGTAGTTAAGTCATCAGGGAATTAGGATTTGATATGTTTTAGCCTTTGCTTTTAATGTAATGTACTGAGTTGTCATTGAATCTTTGATAAACATCTTTGTTTAACAACTGGCCTGCAGAATTCCTGGAAATGTGGCAGCGACTTTCTGGACAAGCCGGCTCGGTGCTATGCAGGACGCGTCAGTGGCTGCACCCAGCCAGCTGACCTGATCTGTCACTGAGTGAATATTGAGTAAAATTAGAGTTTTTGTTACCTCTGGGAGGTTTTTTAACTCTCATTATAGTCAAATTCCTTAGAAGAGGACTGTCATTTCCCTTGTTAGCAGCCTCTGTACTTCTGAAAGGAAAACAGGAGATAATTACTCTGCTTTGAAGAAATACAAGCTTTCACTTCTCCATATTTATTTACTGGTTTTTGTTTCTTGGATTGTTTTGGTTGGTTGGCTGTTTATTTTGTTTGGATTTTTTTTTTTTTTTTGAGAAGAGGATTTTACTGAGGATTTGCTTCTTTAATGTATATATGAAGACTAAGTTAATTTTTTTATGACAGACTTTATGTAGCAAATTGTGATGAAGAGAAATTTGTAAACTCTGACAGAACAAATACTCTGTCAGAGTAGCTTTGGGTTCTGACTCGTCCGTGTGCAAGAGTGTTCACGGCACTGGGGTCATCCAGGGACTTCTCACGCCTGTCTCAGTAGATAGTTTTCCACCTGGAGTTTCAGCTGACACAACTTCTTGTTTCAGATTGTGTCCTACCTACTTGATCTTCCAGAAAAAGATGAAGAGGAAGTGGAGCGAGCACAGATCAACAGCTTCGACAGCCTCTGGGGAGAGACAGGTACTCCTCGTGAACCTTCCTCTTCCCTCATGACGTTGTGTCTAAGGAGAGAGGTCCTCGCGCCCTGACTCCTTTCTGGGCCATACCCCTGGGTGTCTGTCCTGTGGCTTTTGTGTTGGAGGCCAGTTCAGCCTATGTGAAAAGCCAGACAGCTTCCTTCTTTTGGTCCTTTGGGTTCTCTGGGCCTTTCGCACCAGCCAGAATTTCCTTGCCACATGCCAAACCACCGCAATTACACTTCCCCTTTTTTATGGTGTTCTTGTAGCAGTTAGTAGCAAACATTTTCCCCATCACCTGTGGTTGTAAATCAGGAGGTTCCACTTGTGTCCGTACCTCTGACCTAACCAAGTGTTAGAGGGCAGAGTGGTGTCTGACCTGCTTAGTCTGCTACAGCAGGACACAGGCTGTCTGGCAGAGGTGCCGTCCTGAAGGTACCCCCTCATCCTGTTCTTAGTGGCCTGTGGAAAAGTGACTTCTGCATGGTCCTTGCTTCACAAACAGCTGCCTCTTCTACAGGGTCTCCACAACCGTGATTCTCCCAAGTCTACACTGGACCATCTGGAGAAAAATTAGAATCCTTTGTGTGTTTTTGTGAACCTAGGACAAAGAAAAATATAGTCTCCACAGATGAGTCTCATATCTGCCAGGAGAAGTTGACCAACATTAGCCATTTAAGGGGAGAATCTTTTCACTAAATAAGGTTGTGTGCTTTGGATAGGACCCAGGTGTTACTAAAAAAATAAGTCACTTGAATTCATTTAAGTTTTCTAGTTTGAACTGTGAGGTTTCCACTTAGGGAAGAATCTTCTGTAGGTTTCATGGCTCCTTAAACATCATGGAGAATGACCCAAACCTCAGGAATTTGTTTCTCAAACAATCCCCCTCTCTGGAAGAGCCAAGGGAGCAGATGCCGGGCAGCTGCAGCTTAAGAGCCCATGACAGATGAGAAGGAAATGTGCAGCTGGAAACAGCTGCTGTGTCTGGGATGCCACCTTGAGGGGGCTGGGGACAGATGAGGGAAGGGACCCCCAGAGTCAGCCGTTCTAAGGACTCACAGTGACCTCGAGCTGCAGAAGGGACACGCTGGCCTGTTTGCTTGGGTCAGCGCAGCCCGGGACAGGCCTCTTCAGACAGGGCTGCCCAGCAGACTCCTGCAGCCCAGTCGCCTGCAGCCTCTGGGGGGACAAAGGACAGTAATGGCCCAGTGGTGACCGTGGGAGGGACTGCAAGCTTCATATGATGAATCTCTAGTGCTGCACGTGTCTCAAAATGTTCAAAAGAGAACTAAGTGGAAGACTTTTTATTGAGGTAAATTTCTTATGAAAGTAAAACTTTATGGCCTCAGGATTTTTTCAATACTTCATGCTTTAAATTTGCAGCAAATTTTGTTTCATTAGTATTATATGTCAGGATTATCAGCTATCAAAGCTTCATATTAATTTGCTGGCATTCAAAATCCTATTATAATTAAATTGATGTTTATGTGAAGTATTTTAAACACGATAAACATAAAATGCTGTCTAAGCATGTTAGAATGAAATGCACTTACATGATGTATAACTCTATTAAAATTTTTGACTTTTCCCAGAAAAATTTCTGAGAAACAATATTCTTGCTTAAAAACACCCCTACAATTCAGAATAGTACAGGACAGAGTATGAGATGCTTTTCTGTCTAGAGTGATGGGTTTACTAGGTAGATGTTCTTTTCTAACTTACGGTGCATAACCGTTTCAATTTATAGCAACTCCCTGGATTGTGGAGTTCTCTGCCTTGCGCGTCTTAAGAAATGTTTCCCCTGTATAGGGAAGGAAGGCCGGTGACCAGCAAGCTGCGGTCTTGATCTGCTACTAAACAGCATTTTCTTTACCCAAGGAAACCACGATCATGTTTCCGACAACCTGTACCACTTCCTCTGTAAGATCTAACACACCGCAACTCTAGGAAACTTTGTAACCACTATTTCATGTGCCCCTACAAGAAACATCTGCCTGTTAAAATGACACGATTCTTTATTATCACACCAATTGTAGGTAGGGTGCATCTTGATTTGAGATGTTAAAATGTGAAGCACAAAGAGGCCCATCTTAAATCAGTGAACTCCAATTTAGCACATGGCGAAATACTAACTTAGGTATATTGAATTTTCTAAAAACGTATCACCAGGGTACCCTGGTGGTCTTTGTCTTCCTCCTGCCGCCTCTGTCCTTCCAGGAAGCAATTACGGTGACAGGATTGTTCACCGACTCCCACCCCGCCCTTGTCCCAGGCACTCCGAGGACCCACATTCAAAGCTTCTAGCAACTCCAGAGAATCTGAGCATCCCATGGCCAGAAGAGGCCGGAGAGCACAAGATACTCTAACTCCTGCCCTCAGCACCCTCTGCCTAAGTTATTGCACTTGGCTGCTAGCTGCTAGTCCCATCTCCGGCCACACCCCTTTGTGGCTCATCTCCCAGAGTTCAGCCAAAGTGATCTTTCTGAACCACAGTCTGTTCACGTAACGCTCTTTTCTTCGGCTTTAATCGCAGTAGCTTTGGTTTACAACACTGTATGTGACTGTATGTGATTACATACACTGTATGTGTGTGTAATTGCTTCCTGGAAGGACACGCCCTGAGGGGTGGCGGCCGCACCGCCCACTGCCAAGGCACCGCTGCCTCTTGTGCCCTCCACCCCCTCCTCCCCCACTGTGGGCCACCTGCCTACTCACCACCCTCCCAGACTCCCCTGAAGGACCGGTCATGCTGTCCAGCTGCCTGCACCTCCTGTCGTGTCTGGTAACCACAGTATGGACAACTCCATTTCCCAGCTCTGTGCCTCGCTGGTGCTCACCTGTGCCCAGCACGCTGCCCTCTGGGCCTTCATGCCTAGAAAGTCTCTTTCTCTCCCAGCATCTAGCTCAGGTTAGCGTCTCTTCCTGGAGACCCTCTCACCCTGCGCCCTCTGTCGCCCACCCTCTGTCCAGGGACTTGACCTCTGCTGCTCCTCACCCTGTACAGCAGAGTGTTTATCTGGCTCTCCTTGCTCACCGTGAGCAACTTGAGAGCAGAGACAGAGTCTGACAGATCGCACAGTAAATGTCGAACCGTCGAACCAATGTTGTGCTGCAACGCGGCGATCGGCTTGTGTCTCGCAGCCGCCTCCTGGCTGGTCTCATATGACCCATCTGTGCTGAGCTCGCCCAAGGCTAACAGACACGACAAAAGAGCCCTTTGTTTTGCAGCATTCTCGTCACGTCAGCAGCCCAGACATTCCGACTTGGCTATTTCCCCAATTCTGAACTGTGTAGTATCTGCCTCTTCAACCTCCGGAGCTGTTTCCCTTTGAAAACAGGCCAGTTAGGACAGATAACCTCACCCTATGTTGACAAGCTGGGGAACAAATTCTGTAACTGGTCTTTTAGGAAGAGACAAGCTGCTGTGTTTGTTCTAAGAATCAGTTTCTTGTTTTACAGAACTGGTTTTACCTTAATCTTTCAGAAAAGTTTTGTGCCTGATAAGAATTATATAAGATCCAGCCAAAGCAAATGCTTACTGTTGCATTTTGAAAAGTACAGATCTCGTTTTACATAGTTGTGTGGTTCTGAGATGAAATTAGCTGGCTGTGTTAATGACCGTGTCCAGCTATCAGCTGGCTGTTGCTGCCAAGTGACATCATCTCCAAGAAAAAGGCCAAGTGGAACATTCCCTGTGATAGAAACAAGTTATCCAGTAGGCCGAAGTGGGCCAGAGGGCAGTACGTACAGCCCAGCTCAGGTGAACAGTGTAGCTTAGCTTCAAGGTAGGCACTGGTGGGGGGTCTTTCCTCAGCGCTCTATGTGGCACTGTCCGTGAGAGGCTTGAGTCTGACAGGTCTCTTCCATGGCACAAAATTCTTCTCTATCAAAGAACATATTTGCCCACAGCCACACATGGAACATTAAAAAGGAGGTTTACAGCACCCTGTCTTCTAGTAGCTTCTTTATTGGGTGCCCAACTTAGAAATCTCCCCGTCACTTGTCTCTTGTGTCAGCAAAGGTGATTCTTCTGGTTCTAAACAAGGGCCTACCCGGTCAGGCCCCTTTTCCCCAGCCTCACTGAGACACCATCGGTGAGAAAAACTGTGCATGTTTTAGGGGGACATTGTGATCGTTTCTAGACAAGTTCTTAAGCTTCTCTTGTGTTCTGACCCACAGACAGAACTACGGTTTTGTTTTGTTTTGTTTTAACTGTTAGGAATATCAACTTGGGGTGTGGTGGGGTAGGAGGAAAGACGGTTTTAATTTAAAGAACAAGAGACTAGTAGTTGTGCTCACCAACACCTGTCCTTGGGGCCTAGAAATGCCCTTCACCTCAGGTAGGACCAAGCCTCTGCCCTCCTGCGAGAAACTGGACAGAAAGGCCAACGTTTAGCGTTCCAAAATAAGACTCAAAATAGACAGTAGACAAGTCTAGGTATGTTGAGTTTAGGGGTGTTTGTATCTTCTAAAATTGCTGTTTTCCTTTAGAGCCCTTTGTCTCAGGGCAGGAAAAGATTATTTGAAGGTTTGGCTTAGTGGAAATTACAGGTGGTTTTGGTTTTGCATATGAGTCATTTGTGGATAAATTTGGCTAAACCCAAAGACAAAAATGCCATAATTTGCACTTAAATGAAAAAAACTACCACTGACCATTTGATTTGAATTTCAAATTTCTCTGATTAGATGCTAACATTTGCAAACTGAAATATCATCTGCCCCTGCCAAATACTCTGTTTTTCTGATTTGTCAGTGGAATAGGTGACCTTAATAAAGGGAGGATCTGCTGGCGCCACACCAGATCTCCAGTCAGCCTGGAAAAACAAATTCTCTGTCCTCTTTCTTTAAAAGTATAACTTCTGTTATTTTCTAACGATGTTTCCATCCTCTGTCCCCACTCCACTCCTTAGATACTAAAGTTACCATCTCCTGGTTAAATACACATTTGTTTAAATAAGGGCTTAGAATTTCCAGTATTGGAAGGGGACTCGGAGGATGAAACCCTGGCTCACAGAGACCCCCCTGTCCAGAGAGGGCAGACAGGGGAAGCAACAGAAAAGGAAGAATGTGCAGGCCTCTCCTGTGACCCTTCACTCACTGTGACAGTTTTGTTTGTTTGTTTGTTTGTTTGTTTAAAGATTTATGTATTTGTGCATACAGAACTAGGGTACAGGCCAGAGGCTCAGGGGCAGCAAGAGGCTTCACCAGAGACAGAGTGGGGAGCAGAACAGGCAGATTGACGAAGTCCACTGCTGAGGGGAGCAGCGGGCGGGTCAGGAGAGGTCTGCCGCGCCATGTGGTCACCTCCGGGGCAGGCGGGAATTGAACTCAACCCACTACGCCACCAGGGAGGCCTGTGACAGTTTTTTAATCTGTGGCTCCATTAGCTTTTTTCAGACTTCTTCTCTCATCTTTGAGACTGTTATCTTGAATATTTCTGATGTTCATCTAGATGTGATCGCAAATAAACCATTAGTTTCTGTCTCAACTAATCGAGAAAGGATGGGAAGGAGAAAAGTAAAATGGCCCAAGGCCCTTCGAATAAGTTTCCGACTTTGTGCCTGTGGCCAAGGACCCAGTGGCGGAGGTTGGCTGGACCGCCCCAAGTGAAGGGCCTGGGTCTGCAGAGGCCTTGCGCCCGATGCTCGCTCGCATCGGCCACCGGAAGGTGGTAGCTAGAAAGAGGCACCAAAAGAGGGAGGTGAGGGCAGAGAAGGAATGTCGAGGTGAAAAATCCAAAGCCAGTGACTTTGAGCACAGGTGTTTTCAGGAAATTCGCCATCGTAAAGGTCTCCGTGTACTGCTCGCCCCTCCCGCTTAGGGCGTGTGCCGCCGCTTCGCAGAGCTGAGCAGTCCGGGGCACAGGTGCAGCCTCCTTGTGTCGGCGCCCGCTCACCTTCCGCCAGAGTTCCAGCGCCACCACCCCATCCCCTCTGGTAGCCAGTACATTGCTCAGAGTCCGAGAATTGTTTTATTGTTTTGCCAGTTTGTTCTCTTTGATTATTTCCATTCTGTAAATGAATGAGTTCATCTTGTAAGCCTATTTAAATGTGACTTTTTCATGACTTTTACTTTTAAAATTTCCTTCATGGAAAAAGTAGGCAAAGCATTGTCCTTGGAGGCAAAGTAGCAGCTCCACCAGCCAGAGAGCCTGCCGCGCTCAGCACGCAGGGTGGCGAGGGCGAGGACTCCTGGCCTCAGACTGTGTTCTCTGCCTGCAGCGCTGACAGCCGCAGCCGGGAGGGGCAAGCTGGAGGTGTGCCGGCTGCTCTTGGAACAGGGGGCCGCGGTGGCCCAGCCAAACCGCCGGGGGGCTGTGCCCCTGTTCAGCACCGTTCGCCAGGGCCACTGGCAGGTAAGCAGGGCAGGTACTTCTAGTCCTTCCGCCTGGGGTGATTTTCTAGGAGGGAATCTGATAATGCAAAGAGTGGGGGAAACCACAGTTCAGGTTAACCAGCAGTCATCAAGTTTGAGGACTTGGGCCCCATTTATTCAGGTTACCTGAGAATGCCAAAAAACAACATTCAAAATCATCATTATGACCTAGATTGTGGAGCAGGACTAACCACTTTGCCCTGCTCACGGATGACCTTTGGCTTCCATCTCAAAGGAGGCTCTGGAAGACTCATGTCATAACAGACTCCTGCTAATCACTTACTAGCAAACTTGTCAAAAGGAAGCGTGGTGCAATAAATTCAGCTTCGGGGTCTTTCCAGATGTTTGGGTTCTGGATAAATGTTCATTTTGATGTACTTAGGGTGGAAAAGAAAATTTACCGGTAATAATCTTTGAATGTATTTGAGTAGAAAAGAGAGGGCCTAGAAGCCAGAGAATGCTGACGAGTTAGAAGTGCTTGGTTGTCTTCTGCCCAGACATGAACACTCCCTGCGGGCAAGTTTGCAGCCCTGGACGGCAGTAAAACAGCACGGACACAGGTAGTGGCTGGTGCTGGAGCGCCCTTGATGGGAGTCGCTGGTCTGCTCTGGCGTTGTTACAGTATTTTTTTTTCCTACTTAGTGGCTGAGTCAGAAATGGTTGAAACCTTCCCACTAGGCTGTTCCTAGGTGACTGGGAGGTCAGCCCTGTGGGAACAGGCCTGGGAAGACCCTCAGGGTGTTCTTGCAGTGGAAAATTCTGCAGGTGACTCACCTGTGCCTCCTGCAGGCTCACAGGGCTCAGGCAACAGTGGGTGTGAGTCTGGCCAACAGCTCTTCTGGGCTCACTGGCCCCCTGTTTCTCCACTTGCAGATTGTCGATCTCTTACTCACCCACGGCGCTGATGTCAACATGGCAGACAAGCAGGGCCGCACGCCTCTGATGATGGCCGCTTCCGAAGGCCACCTCGGGACTGTGGACTTTCTCCTTGCCCAAGGTCAGTCCTGGGAAGCCCAAGCGGGTACTCGGGGAATGAATCATGAGCTTGCAGTGGTGTCCGGAGTTGAGAACCAAGGTTATTAATCCAGTTGGTTAGAAAGTACAAGTGCATCTCCTCTCAGACAGTGGGGCCTTGTAACTCTTGACGTTCTCTCCTTCCTCCCTGTGACTGAGGGGTGCTGAGTAGTCTCATCGAAGTAGCATATTGTAAACTTTAGTTCAACTCAGTGATCTGCAAACGTTGATGTTTCTGACATGCCCTCAATAAATGTTTATCTTCCAGGGATTGTATTGACATGAGCTTGATCAATTCTTTTGTCAACCTGCACAACTAATATTTTTCTTGTATGCAAAGGAAGCCAACAGAGGTTAAGATAATCATAACAATGGGCCCTGTTTGAGGAATCAGGATATTGTTATCCTGCTGTTGTAATACATTCCTTTTGACTTTTACCAACATCCACGTATTTCTGATGAATGGGAAATAAGTAAAAGGAAATTGTGGTCACATCACCATGGAAAGCATTTCAGGCTCCTTTTCATGCCTCTGACCTCAGTCACCTGTGTGAAACAATAGCTCCCAGTGAAGCTCAGTGGCAGAAAAGCTCATCACTGTGACTCCACAGTGCCACCCATTGGGCCGAGCCTTGACAGGAAGTAGAGTCCTGGGCCGGGACCAGCCCAGTGACCCTGTGCTGGGTTCCCTCCACTCTTGGTAAACTGGCCCTGCACCCCAAGCGCGTGCACTGTAAGGCAACCAACCTCCTAAAGTGTCAGCTGGAGCAGCTGGGGAAGTTGAGGTAGAAAGCAGGCAAGGCTTCTTCTGAACTTTTAAATGACAGTGCAGAGACGTACAGGCCCTTTGGGGGCAGGACCACCCTCTCCCGAGATCTGTCCCCACCACGGCCGAGGCCACTCGCCTCAGAGCTTCCCTCCCAGGGCAGGGCCCTTGCTTCGCCATGGCTGGCCACTGTGCAAGTCTGGTTTCAGGGGACTGTGTTCCTTTGTGCTGAGGGGATGCTGGAGGGGCGGGGCACTTGCCTAGATTGTCAGGTAAGAGGAGATGAGAGTAAATGCCTCAGAATGATTGAAGCGAGCTGCCCCATACGCTTCCCATGGCAGTGCCCTGTCGGCCTCAGGCCTGGGCCGTGGCCATCTGCAGGTTCCGAAGCCCATCGGTCTGCCCCCTTGCAGATGTTCTGGGCTTTGTACTGTTTCTTTTTTTACATGTAAATCAGCAACTTTCAATAAATGAACAGATTTTACAGACATTTAGCCTGCATTATTCGCAGACACTGTGCCTGGAGCTAATCTTTTCAGTTACTGCACTATAACCCGTGCGTTCGAAGAGTTCATAACGTGCAAGGAGGGGACGAAACAAGTAAAGGGCCTTAAAAAGCAGAGGCTCCGAAACTTTGTAATAAAAAAAAAAAAAAAAAAAAAAGCAGGGGCCCCCAAAACTTTGAAAAAAAAAAAAAAAAAAAAAAAAGCAGAGGCTCCGAAGTGCTCTGATCAAGGTGTGAAGTAGGTGAGGACAGGCTTGGGAATGTGAATATGCAAATGTTCTATATTTAGTGGGGGAGGAAATGTAAATGAAAGGCCAGGAGAAGGAACAGTACGGAACAAGATTGGGGGCGTATGTGAGTTCAGTGCAGAACATGAGGACCTCTGGGAAATAAAATTGAAATGTATATGGAAATAATTTTTAAAGTAACAGATTAAGAGTTTGGACTTAATTCGGAAGGCGGTGGGGAGCCTTTCAAGCTCTTTAAGAGAGGAATTGATGCCAGAATTGTGCTTTGAAAAAACCTCTCTGTCAGGAGCATGAATAGTAGATTTGGTGAAGGAATTATAATGGGTCAGGGGAGCAATTAGGAAGCCATTGTCATAGAGGAGAGGAGAGGGAATGAGACCTAACCCAGGTGCAGGAGCTGTTAGAATACAACAGAAGACCAGGTGCAAAAAAATATATTTTGGATATAAAGATTGATTGATGTGGGAAATAAGTGTAGATGTGCTGAAGATAATTCCAGAGTTTCAGGACGGGTATTTGGAAAAGCCATTAACTGCAAGGGGAAGAATAAAGGAAGATTAAAAACTGAAATTTGGAAGTATTGAGCATATGGGCTTGTTACACTATGGATCATTAATTTCTTAAATTCCAGAATTCTTTGTCTTTGGAAAATCAGCTTATCTGTAATATACATCCAGAAACTTCTTATCCTGCTTGTTCTTCTGCTGGGGGCTTTGTCTGGGGATTTTATAGATGTTGCATCAGAAAAAAATTCTTGGATTCCATCAAATATTCATGTTCATTCCATGTTAGAGTCAGTATCTTAATTATAAACTATATCATTATGAAGACCCTGTACATAAACAGCTGTCTGTGAAAAGTTAACCCAGTAAGTACATAAAGGATTCTCATCAGTTAGAGGTGCCATACTTTCTTCCTGCCCCTCTTCCTACTATGAGAAACTGCAGTGTGGTCTGCTAACCTCTGAGGATACAAACATGTCACCTCTGATGATAGGTCAGGGCGTGCCCCTCGCTGGTGCTCTCCTCTGAGCCCCGAGCAGAGAGAAAGTATTCTGTGTGCAGTTAGCTCTAATTTAGTGACTAAGTAGGACATGCAAGCTCTTTGTAAAGAATTGTCTCAGGTACTCTTCAGAACCAGCAAGTAGTGATAGGCTCTAAACATCCAAGAACCAAAGGTATTTTGAATTTGGCTAATACAAACCAGTGCATCAAGTGTGCTTATTCCTACAGATGAGAATAAACACGTTGATGGGAAGCAGATGCAGAGCATAAAGGGGCTAAGAGGCAGGGACGAGGCTACTGCAGGCTGGCCAGGGCCCAAACTCCAGGTTCCTCGGTGGGCTGGGCCCTGTCTCTCCCATGCGTCCTCCCCCCACGCCTGGTGCCAGGTCCCTGTCAGCCATGACAAACATGCACTGAGCTCTCATTTTAGGGGAATCTGCCATGGAGTTTATACTGTAGTAAGTGAAGGGCTTTGACTGAGTCCAGGTAACATTCATTGAGAATCTATTACCTGTAAGTAGCATACATTAAAAAAAAATAACAACAGAATAAGGTGACATGTCGAGCTGATTCACGATGAGGTAACCATGAACTGGAGACGCTTGTGGAAGGCAGGAGCTTTGGGAAAGTTCCGGCAGACAGGGTAGGAGGAATGAACGTGAACTCACCCAACCACACACGGGCTGCAGGAGTCGACGGGAGAGTCTGGAGCCAGTGAGAACTTCAGCTCGGCCAGTAGAGGCTTCTCACAAGGGAGAAAAGAAACGGATATGTGGGTGTCCGCTTGGGGACAGGTTGCAGGGCAGCTGGGATGCCCAGGAGAACAACCAGATCTTCTTCTGCTAACATCTTGCAGGTGCCATTATTTCTGAACAGTTTAGTAGAGAGAAGCCTCAAATACTAGAGCAGCTGCTAGAGTCCGGCAGAATCCACCTTAAACACCAGTTTAAGGTTGTCAGGACACAGGGGACATCCCCCGCCCCTCTGGGTTCTTCTGAGGCGGGACCCACAGGCTAAGGAACACCTCACAGGTCTCTAGGAGAGAGAGGCCATGTTTAATACACAGGGTGGAGACTCACACCAGTAAATCCTGACGTAAATGGCCCCCATGCAGGGGTCTCTGTCCTGAGCTGAGGGCTGGGGCGGCCAGGAGGGCGCGAGGGGCCTGGGGCAAGAGAGGGCGGCTGCGGGGCGGGACCTGGCCCCTGGGCGTTTGCCGGCTTCACCAGGCGGCTCACAACGTGACTTCTGAAAGTGCCCCTAAATCTCAGTCACCCACATTCCTGCGGTCTCATTCTCCTGGGGCCCACTGGGCCTCCATCGGCCTTCGTGCCTCACGCCCGTGGCGTGTATGGGGAGAGGCCTGCTGGGGACTGCGTGGGGGGCCGGCCCCCCAATGATGTCTCCTGTTTGCTCAGCCCATGTTCTTATTGCTCTTGTAGGGGCCTCCATTGCTCTCATGGACAAAGAGGGTTTGACAGCCCTTAGCTGGGCCTGTTTGAAGGGCCACCTCTCAGTAGTACGCTCTCTGGTGGATAACGGAGCAGCCACAGACCACGCTGACAAGAATGGCCGCACCCCACTCGATCTGGCCGCTTTCTACGGTGACGCCGAGGTGGTAAGTGCCTGATAGCGTGGGGCGGGGCTGCGTCCACTGTGCAGTCTGGGTTTGCGGGTGGAGCAGTGTCTACACCCGCGCTTCAGTGTATGATTACTGGCGGGCAGAAACACTCAGGATGCCATGAAAGACCCAGAATGTGGCTTTGACCCGAAACGCTGTGCTGCCCAGCCTGGTGCCCAGCCACCGTCCTGTGGTAACAGCTGCGCCTGCTCCGCATCACAGGTCCAGTTCCTGGTGGATCACGGGGCCATGATCGAGCACGTCGACTACAGCGGGATGCGCCCCTTGGACCGGGCGGTGGGGTGCCGGAACACCTCTGTCGTGGTCACTCTCCTGAAGAAAGGCGCCAAGATAGGTAGGAGATGGGAAGACGGTGCTGGCATCTGTGCCCAGGGGCCAGGCTGGCCCAGAGGTCTGGTCGCCCTGGGAGGTTGGTGTGAGTGTATAGTTTCCCCTCGGCCCTGGCCCAGTTAGTCCACGTGAACAGAAAGGAGCTTGGCCCAGAGGAGACACCCTCTGCGCCGCGACCTACTCGCCCCGTGTCCAGAATCAGTTACCCGCCGCCACAGCCTCAGCCGGAGGCGCTCTGAGCAGGCACCTCGGGTGCCCGTGCCTCCGGAAGCCCCGCCCTGCGAGCCCCGGCCCTGCTCTGCGCGAACCTCCGCTTCCCCGCTCTGTGTGCGCTTCGGCCTCGGCCCTGCTGCTCCCCGCCCGCTCCCGCCCGCCCGCAGACGGTAGACAGGGTCGGCTGACGCGCTGGCCTCCGCTGCCTGCCTCTCACTGCTGCTTTTTCCTTCTTTTTTGTTTTTTTCACCTTCATCCATTTTTTTTTTCCTCTCCTACAACTTTTTGTTTTCTCCTTTCTTTGAAGGTTGTCAGACGTTACCGAGTCGCCCACGAGGTATATTCACCGCTGTCAGCATCAGGCGCGGCCTGGTGGCTTGGTCAGCTTTGCCTTCTCCTCTTTGATTTAGCCTGCATGAGTTCCCTTCTCCTCTAACCTTTTAATTTACTTCACCTTAAAAGAAGATTTTTTTAAATAACTGTTGTAGAGAATAACTTGAACTTTTGATAACTAACCCTGGAAAGCTTAGTTGGTGAATAATTCAGCCATCTGTCAACTAATCAGTTTAACCTTCTCTTTCCGTGCGTGGGTGAAGTTTCCTCAGTGACGTTGGCTTGTTTCACGCGCTTGACATTCCGATGGTGCTCCTGGTCGGCTCAGACCCAGGAGCCTGTTGGGCGCCCCACACTGAGGGCCCTGCAGGCCGGAACAGCCCCTTCTGCACAGTGCGTGCCTCAGAATTGAGACACTGAACAGCCGGGGACTTGAGTCCAGACTCTAAAACAAATTATCCTTTTTGGATTTTTTTTTCAATCTGTGGTGACATGACTCTAAATACTCTCTCTCAATTTCCTTATTTAAAATAACTCTGCTGCCCTCGTGTGGTGCGGACTGACAGGTCAGATATTCTTATTTTAAGGTGAATACAAACCCAACGCAGCTTCTTGGCGGTGGGAGTCCCTAAGAGACTCCCAGGTCTAAAAGATGAGGAAAGTGTCGTGGAGCAAGTTGTTCTCTCAGCAGAAATTCCCCAGGATGTTTTTTCACCTAGCTTCCTACCACCCTTACATGTATGAGTTTTTACCCATCATGCATCCTGTACACTGCAGGTCCAGCCACATGGGCGATGGCCACCTCCAAGCCAGACATCATGATCATCCTATTGAGCAAGCTGATGGAAGAGGGGGACATGTTTTATAAGGTGAGGGGAGGGAGGAACAGAGTTTCCTCAAAACGGCCGCTGCTGACGTTTCTGCTTGTAGAATCTACCAGTCTTGACAAGTCTCATCCTTGGCTCTTGAGACCAAGGGAGAACACCATCTCTCAGTGGGGGGCTCCTAAGTTGGGGATCTCAGGTCTTTGCTTTCCCAGCAAGAACAAGGACACTCCTCACGAGGCTGATGGGCCCAAAGAGCCAGCTCTGCCCGGTCTCGCCTAGGCAGCTACGCAGAGTCCAAGTGGGATCTGCTGAGTGGGACCTCGAACCCCAGCGGAGGAGATAAAGGAAAGTCATGCTGTTCAGATGTTTCCAGCCGTGGGGAGAAGCCTTGACCCATGCCGGTGTTCAGATATGCATAGACGTAAAGGCTGGTAGTAGTGAAGCTGATCTGCCTCCCTGAGTAGGCTGAGCAACTGAGACCAGTGGCCGTTAGACTTGCCAAAAGTCCTGACGACAGCAAAAGGGGCTGGAGGCTCTGCACTCACAGGCGAGACTGGAGGCTCCACGCCTCACACTGGCTCCCTGGCTACAGAGCGCCTGCAGGAACAGCGTGTTTCAGCGTCACCCCGCTAGGTTGCGCGTCACCAAGTCTTCCCCTGAAGGCTGATACAAATCTAGCCAAGTAGGTATCGCCAGGATGTCCCCAAAGACAAAGTGACAGCAGCACATGCTGTCCCCTTGGGCCCGGGGCACGCAGGGTGTTGTTACCTGGACCCTTACATGAGAGTGGACCTGAGACCTGAGCCAGCCATGGCTTCACGTGCCTTCCAGGAGGCCTTGAGTAGGCCGTAACCACGCTCACGGCTGGGGAGAGACGCTTTTCTCAGGACCCTGAGCCCTGCTCTGGCATAACTCTGGTATCTAAGACAGAGGCCTCTTCAGAAGGACAGGCGAGTTCATGCTGGCCCCTCCCAGAATTCTGCCTTGGCAGACTATGGCTGTCTCCTCAGTAAAAGGCGCTAAAGGGAAAATAGAAGATGGGGGTGTCGGGGGGAGCCACAGCTAGACAAAAGGAATGGCCGGGCAGAGGTCCGCTGAGGGCTGGGAGGGAGCGCCTACGGCGTGTGGGCTCAGCCTTTGCATTCCAGACACAAAGTATGAGAGAAGCTAAAAGTCCCTGTAACCAGGCCCTTCGGTTGTTCATCGATGAACTTCACCTGGGAAGTGCCCTCCTGCATAATCAGATGGAATCACAAACTCTAAACCTCACTCTGTTCCCACCTTCTCCTTACGCCTTTTCAAAAAATGGGGAAAAAACAGATTGGAGGTATTTTATGCCCTGTGATTAGGGAAGCAGCAGCTAGACTGATTTAGCTCCCACAATCCTCTGTGAGGAAGAGAGTGACCTCTTCTAGAGGACTGGCGAGGTGGGAGGTCAAGCACGAGAAGACTTTTCCAGAGGAAAGGAAGTAAACTGCTAACTTTGGAGTGCTGGGAACTAGGAAGTGCCAGGTCAAGGAGACATTCCTTTGAGGTAGATAGTTGGTGCCTTGGGCATGTCCTTGGGCAGTGGGGCCCAGGCCTTCGGAGTCACTGCCCGCCTTGCTGCCGCTGGCCAGGCCGCCCCCGACCCCGGCTGCTGGGGAGCTGCCCCTTCCCCTGAGTTGCTGAGAGGAGGACAGAGGGGGTGGAGGCCACACTGGCTCAGCAGACCAACCACGTGTCTCGCCATCTTGTGCTCCCACTAGAAAGGGAAAGTGAAGGAGGCTGCCCAGCGGTACCAATATGCGCTGAAGAAGTTCCCTAGAGAAGGGTTCGGTGAGGACTTGAAAACCTTCCGGGAACTAAAGGTGTCTCTCCTCCTCAACCTCTCGCGATGCCGCAGGAAAATGAACGTAAGTCCTTCTCGCCCCAGCTTCTCTCTGCACGCCTGGGAGTTCACGCCCACGCCACTCACTGGGTCTTACCAGGCTCCCAGAATTCTTCTCTGCCCCATTTGGAACTTGGTTGTCCTTCACAGAGCACTGACATTTGCAATTTGAAAGAAATCAAGTCTGAGTACAATCTGTATTTTAAACCTTAATAAAACTCGAATGCCGTGGGCACTTGGTAGCTTTGCGGATTTGTATGCCTCCCACTGAGAACGAGAGCTGCATCCCCCGGCCTGTGTCTTTGGGGCATTTGAGAGCAGTGGTCCCTGGAATTGGAGCTGCGGCTGCACATGAATTTGTCATTCCCGTCCTTTCTAGCAGACCCCCTAGTTGATAGAAGGGCTCAGGACCATGGACTTCAAGGTGTAATTTCATAGCTGATCTTGAACTTTTCCCTTCTTCCTCCTCTTTTTATTCCAGTATGTCATGATCCTTCTTGCGGCAGAGGGAATCTTTGCATCCGTCCTGCTTTATTATTTCCTGAGCAGTCCAGTCCTTAGTCCTTCTTACCTGCCTTGCAGATGCCACTGCTCCTCTTAGGGGGGCCTGGAACCCCCAGAGAGCAAAGTGTATGTCAGGTGTCTTATATCCACCAACCTGAGGTCTCACAGCCCCTTGGAGATAGAAATCACTCAAGCCATGGGCCCTCCTTGGTGGCACAAGGGGTTAAAGTGCAGCACCGTGAAGCCAGCTGTAGCCACTTCAGTGTGAGTTCCATCCCAGGCCGGGGCGCTGACCCACATGGCGCGGCAGACCTCTCCTGTCTCCCCGCTGCTCCCCTCAGCAGTGCACTTCGTCGGTCTGCCTGTTCTGCTCCCTACTCTGTCTCTGGTGAAGCCTCTCACTGCACCTGTACCCCAGATCTGTATGCATGAATAAATAAATCTTAAAAAAAAAAAAGAAGTCACTCAAGCCAGGCAGGAATACTAACAAGCAGCGTACTCGACTGTGAGACGCAAGACGCTCTGCGTGGCAGCGCCCTGCCTCCAGGCAGCTTGTGTGTGTCCAGCTTCCAGTCCTCCAGGAAGAGCAGACTGGCGCAGGGGACCAGTCACAGCCCACGAGATGGGGTTCCATGGTGCCAAGGAGAGTGGGGATGTGCTAGAGGTCCCCACAAGGGGAGCGTGACTCGGGGAAGCAGTGAGGGTCTTGTGTGAAACAGAAGCAGCAACGCCAAGGGCCTATTATGGCCCCGTTAGTAACAGTGAAGCCGCTCAGAAGCTGCTGGCAACCTGCAAAGCTCTGATCATCCCACAATGATTGCCCCAAAGAGCCTGCAGGGTAAAAATGGAAAGAGCAGAATAGAAGATGATCCTTGTAAGGTGCAGCCCTGTCTACCTCCACACTGTGCAAAATTGGTTAACAATCCATCACCTCCGTCACTCACACCAAACCCACAGGCCCGTCTTCTTTGGCAGAAAACCACCTGTTACCTTTTCCTGGCTAAATGACTGTGCCCAGGGCCTGGTTTTCCACCCTAGGAACCGCACATGTCGGCAGACGCTACTGTGCTGTGGCTTTGGCACTAGAGGGAGAAGGACCTGTCCCTTGCACACACAGCAGGAAGGCGACTTCCTGCTGCGGGTTTGTTCCAAGGTCTCAGCCCTGTGATTTCTCAGAACGAGGGTTGGTGAGGCCTTCAGGAGCCTCAAGGATCGAGATGAGGCACCACACAGACCCCGGGCACAGCCAGGCCTCTCCCTGCTTTCCTTTGACGTGTTTCCTAAGCAAGGAGACAGTCAAAAGAAGGAACAGGACAGAGAAGCCTCTGAAGGAGAAAGGAAAGTACTGTTTATTGAGTACCTACTGTGTGCCAGGAGCTGGGTATGGGGCTCGCAAATGCTCAACACACTTAATCCTACCTGTGAGGTAGGTGTGGTTGAGGGCCGGGCCTCACGCCCTGGGCAGACCAGGCACTGAACCCGCGATGACCTGGCCCACCCACTCCAGCTAGTCCTGGCTAGCCACGGAACAGGAGAAGCCGCAGGGCCACATGAGGTTTGGGTGTGTGCGCCCCACACGTGGGTGTAACCGGGGTGCAGGCTTTCAGTTTCAGGCGCCTCACCAGGTTGACTAGTGTCTTCTGGGCTGGCGAGGACTTTGTTGGAAAGGCAGCGAGAGGGCAGATTTGGAGAGCTTCTGGGCAGACAGGTCCCCGCGAGCTGCCGCAGGGCTGCACGGGAGGAGGCAGACGGGGTCTGGCCTCGTGGCCAGCGCCTGCCAGCCAGGTCGAGAGTCCCAGGCGTCCCACCCACAAATGTCAAAGAAGTTTCGTGCGATCTGTTTTATTCCCAAGTGTCTCTTCCTTGTCTCTGCAATGACTCACGTGCACACCTATTGTGATGACAGGACTTTGGAATGGCGGAGGAATTCGCTTCTAAGGCTCTGGAGCTGAAACCGAAATCTTACGAAGCTTATTATGCGAGAGCCAGGGCAAAGCGCAGCAGCAGGTGAGGAGAGCGAGCGTGCAGGCTGGAGGCCTCCCTCGGGGTCCGGCCGAGGTGGCCAGCGGCCGTCTGGACCCGAGGACCTGGGGGTGAGCCCAGGGGCACCCCCCGCCAGCGCCCAGCCACGACGCACATCTTGCAGCGGGGCTGTGGCAATCTAGAGCATCTACTTTGGGAGAAAAATGCCTTTTCCTGGGGCGCCTTTACCTCGCCGCATCTCAGCCCCTTGCTGACCCCCAAAGCCTGTGGTAGCACCTGAGCCATCAGTGACTTAACCAGCATCACTTAACAAAATATCCTCCGGTCCCTTTAAGAGGGAAGGTGGAGGGGGGGTCCCTCATCACAGGCTCCTCTTTTCTTTTCCTGTGGCATTTGGGGATCCCTGGATTAGTTGGTCTTCCTTGTGGGGCTCTGCTCAAGTCTGGTGGCAGCACACCTCCTCCTCCCCTGCACACCTAACCCCACTACACCACACATTCCTGGACAGTGGGTAGCTCTGCTGTAAGAGTTGAGAGAACCCCAAAAAAGGCACCCCTTGCCCCACATTGTGGCTTAGCAGTGGGCGAGAATGGCTCCGGAAACACCTAGAACCTGTCGTCAGTGATGTGGGGATGCCCTCGCCATCCATACTTCGGGCTTCCTGCTGGGACGGGGCCGCGTCCTGCAGGTCGAGCCCAGGTCCGGCCGGGTGGTGGTGATGAGCTGGGGGAGCAGAGCTCCTGCGGCAGCTTCCGTCGAATTCCCTTCTCCTGCGTGATTCCTTCCCCACGAGGCCCATCGCCCTCTCTCCGGGTAGCTTTAATAGGATGTTCTTGTCCTCCTTTGTCTGGTACAGACGGAGTGGCCTCGTCAGCAGGCCTAACACCCACAGCTTGGTCGCAACGCGTGGGCGAGGGGCAGGAGGTACGGCGGTCAGGGCTCCTGCCCCGGGTGGGCAGGCTTGAAATCTGGAGCCCAAATAGGGAGAACAAGGAAATTCTGGATCAGCAAGATTTTAAAAGATGTAGTGACCGTTTTATTCCTAAGCTAAGTGACAGTGACCCTGTAAATGACAACCCCACCCAGCCCTCCTGTGGCCTGGCACCACCCGTGTGCCCATGGGCACTCGGAATCCTCTTGAAGGGCCAGCGGGCTGACACGGGCATTTCTCCACTAATCCCAGAGAGGCCGCAGGGAAGATGGAGACCGAATGGGCTAGGGGTCACTCTGGACTCCTCCACAGTGACAGCCCCCCGCTTCCTCCTTCCAAGGCAAGCGCAGCCGCCACTGCCGCGTTCCGCCAGTGGTGGCCTCGTCTTCGGCTTGTGGTGATCCCCGGGGCTTCGGAATTAACCCCGGTCCTGTGTTTACGTTTTGTCAAGCAGACAGTTCGCAGCAGCCTTGGAGGACCTGAACGAGGCCGTCAAGCTGTGTCCAAACAACCGTGAGATCCAGAGGCTCCTGATGAGGGTGGAGGAGGAGTGCAGACAGATGCAGCCGCCGCCGCCGCCGCCGCCCGAGGAGACGGAGCCCGAGCCCGAGCCCGAGCCCCAGCACGAAGACCTGTACGCGGCGCAGGGCGTGTTCGAGGAGGAATACCTGGAGCAGGATGACAGCGTCTCCATTGGCCTCCAGACAGAGGCGCGGCCCAGCCAGGGGCTCCCCACGATCCAGAGCCCGCCCTCCTCCCCAGCCCATCGGGACGCGGCCTACATCTCCAGCTCCCCGCTCGGCGCTCATCAGGTGTTTGACTTCCGGGCCAGCAGTTCCGTGGGGTCTCCCACCAGACAGGGCTATCAGTCCACCTCGCCTGCCCTCTCGCCAACGCACCAGAACTCTCATTACCGGCCTAGCCCTCCACATACGTCCCCAGCTCATCAGGGTGGGTCTTACCGCTTCAGCCCCCCTCCCGTGGGCGGGCAGGGCAAAGAATACCCGAGCCCGCCCCCTTCCCCACTCCGCAGAGGCCCTCAGTACCGGGCCAGCCCTCCAGCCGAAAGCATGAGTGTCTACAGGTCCCAGTCTGGCTCACCGGTGCGCTATCAGCAAGAAGCAAGTGTTAGTCAGCTTCCTGGCAGACCAAAATCTCCATTATCTAAAATGGCCCAGCGGCCCTACCAGATGCCTCAGCTTCCTGTGGCGGTTCCCCAGCAAGGGCTGAGGCTGCAGCCGGCCAAGGCCCAGATTGTGAGGAGCAACCAGCCCAGCGCCGCGGTCCACTCCAGCACCGTCATCTCCACAGGGGCCTACGGCCAGGTGGCCCATTCCATGGCCAGTAAGTACCCGTCTTCACAAGGAGACATGGGAGTAAGTCAGAGCCGCCTGGTTTACCAGGGGTCGATTGGGGGGATTGTGGGGGACGCGAGGCCCGTGCAGCATGTCCAGGCCAGCTTGAGTGCGGGCGCCATCTGTCAGCATGGAGGGCTGACCAAAGAAGACCTTCCCCAGCGACCGTCCTCGGCGTATCGAGGCGGCATGAGGTACAGCCAGACGCCTCAGATCGGGCGTAGCCAGTCTGCATCCTACTACCCCGTCTGTCACTCCAAGCTAGATCTGGAGCGTTCCTCCAGCCAACTGGGGTCCCCCGATGTGTCGCACTTAATCAGAAGACCTATCAGTGTCAACCCTAATGAGATCAAGCCCCACCCCCCCACCCCCCGGCCGCTGCTGCACTCCCAGAGCGTGGGCCTTCGCTTCTCCCCATCTAGCAATAGCATCTCCTCCAGCTCCAACCTGACGCCCACCTTCCGGCCCTCTTCCTCGATTCAGCAAATGGAGATCCCCCTAAAGCCGGCGTACGATAGGTCATGTGACGAGCTGTCGCCAGTGTCTCCCACTCAGGGCGGTTACCCCAGTGAGCCCACCCGATCCAGGACCACACCATTCATGGGCATCATAGATAAGACAGCCCGGACTCAGCAGTACCCTCACCTTCACCAGCAGAGCCGGACCTGGGCGGTGTCATCCGTGGACACCGTGCTCAGCCCCACGTCTCCGGGCAGCCTGCCTCAGCCCGAGTCCTTCAGCCCGCCGTCCTCCATCAGCAACATTGCCTTTTATAACAAAACCAACAACGCGCAGAACGGCCACTTGCTGGAGGACGATTACTACAGCCCCCATGGGGTGCTGGCGAACGGGTCCCGCGGAGACCTGCTGGAGAGAGTCGGCCAGGCCTCCCCCTACCCCGACGTGAAGGTGGCTCGGACCCTCCCGGTGGCCCAGGCCTACCAGGACAACCTGTACCGGCAGCTGTCCCGGGACTCTCGCCAAGGGCAGACCTCCCCTATCAAACCAAAGAGACCATTTGTGGAGTCTAATGTTTAAAAGACATCTGTTGGAGTGAGACCCGTATGTGATCACTGCACATTTTCAGGCTTGGTTTCCACATCTGAGGTAGTCCTCTGCTTCACTCTCATGTAGTTTCTGTGGTGTTCAGAGGTGGCAGCCCTCATGCTGAAACCCTTTGCATGCAGCCCCGGGAGCTGGCCGCAGCGCGCCAGGACTTCAGTCTCGCCTGTCCGTGCCCAGCCACGTGCTCCCCTCTCCGGACGCCGGCGAGGAGGTGGTCGCGCCCTGGGCTTTAACCCAGGGAGATCAGACACTCTGTCAGCTTTTTCCAGGAGACAATCGCTTTCACTGATGTTCTTGTTGTGTAATTGTCTTTCTCCTTTTTTACAAAAATATGATGTTCATGTTCATTTTCTTCTAGGAACTGTAGGAGGGGTGTGTCAGCCCTTTGCCTTTGCACTCTGCCCCAGTGTTACCCAGATGGCCAGCCCCAGGGCGTCCTCGAGCCCGGCCCCTCCCCCGGCCACGGCTCCCTGGCCAGCGGCCCTGGGATGTCCATGGGGATCGTTGCTGGTCTTCCTGGGGGGGCGGGGGGGGGAGAGGAGAAATAAGCCTGTTAAATTGGAAGGAAACAAAACCAATATAATTATTTGAAATGTCACGACATTGATTTTTCCAAGAGACATTTAGAAAACAGCCAACCCTTGAAATAGTTCAGTCAGCCAAGGAAACTACAGATGAGAATCGTGGGTATTTTTAAATGCTCAGTGAGAGTCTTTCTTTAGATTTTTAGACAGTAACCATGAAAAGCTACTGATTTTCCAAGGGTGAGGGAGGGGTTACATAAATAGATGGAAAGAAAGACTGTTCTGGATTCAAGGCAAGGCTGTAGAAAATCTCGGTCTTGTAGAAGTCTGCTTTTATAAGTCCAGCTACATACCGAGCCTCCTGTTCCACACAAAAACAAACTTTTTGAAGATTGACTGGTGCCATAATCACGTCAGGATCCGCACCTGGGGCCAGACTGTGGGCCCACGGTCTCACCCCCAGGCGGCACAGGGAGGGGCCGCAGGTTCCAAGAGACTCCCGACTCCCCGCAGGCCCTGAGGCTTGGCCATCCCTGCCCCAGGCCGCCTAACTCCATTCTGAGGCTGATAGTTTTTTATTTTATGAGAGTTGTGTCCTCTCACCTTTCTCTAGGCAGGAGTGTTTGGGGTGGTGTTGGGAAAGCAGACAACAGCAGAGTGGTTTCGGGGTGGAGGAAGGCCCTCCCAGCCCTGGGGAGGCACGTGAGGTAGACAGCCAGCCTCCCGCCCGGCGGTCCTCGGCTGTCCTGTCCGTGTGTGCTGACCGGTGATGTGGCAGCTCGAGCTGGCCGGCAGGATCGCTGACGCCAAAGCCTTAGCGCAGGCCTGGAACTGACGCACCTCAGCTGGTAACATTTAACAAGATAAACAGCGAAGGCTTAACAAAAGGTTCTCTTACTAGTAAAGGGCTGCAGGAAGGACAGCTTCCTGAGTGGGAATCCAGATGCGGCCAGGCCTGTTTGTGAGTGTCCCCTGAAAATGTCCCTCGGACGTGGGGAGGTGGACCAGAGACTGGCCTTCACGGAGTTCGACTCTGCCGGGTAGATAGGCCCCACCCGCCAGCCCCGAGCAGCTCGAGCTCCGCGTCTCCGTGTCTCTGTGCCCGTCGCGAACAGCGGTGCTGACCCAGGACTCCTCTCTGATGCCTCGGGGCTGTCAGTGTCCCCTCCCCTGCGCCCCCACCCCTGCCCTGCTCTTACCACAAGATGAACCGCGCAGCTGTCCCGGAAGCCCAGGCCCGGAGCCCGACAGCCCCCCAGCTCCTCCGGCCCAGGGGGCACCCCGGACTCTTGGCGCCTCAGCTCGTAACCGCCCCTTGTTGAAGAGCTGCTGCTATGTTTTGACCGTTGCTCGGTGTCTGTTAGCTAAGTGCCCGTGTATGCAGCCCCACGCCCGCTGCCCGTGCCCCTCTGCGTGGGGGAGCTGGCCCTGAGGCTGGCAGATGTGCCCTGCGCCCCGGGGCCGCTCCGGTTTCCAGAAAGAACCAAGGATTTAAGGTCTGAGTTGCTGGGCAGACAGCTCGGGGTCAGTAGTCAGAATGCGATTCCTTTCCAGCCGGCAGAGAAGACCGTGAACGTCACTGCTGGGGGCAGTTTTTGTCTATAAAATGCCAACTGGACTGGGGGCGCGGGGGGCTGGAGACAGAGGTTTTGGTTTTCCTGGAAGCAGACTGCTGTGCCCTGTTTGGCTACTTCACTGCCACGAGATGATCTTAGTACTGTACCTGCGAGATGCCCCTGCCCGGCAACACTCGCTCAATAGGGTCCGGCGTCCGGGGGGCATGGGAGGGGTGCGGGGGGCTCCCTCAGCCGACACTGGTAAGTTCCACCCTCCCAATTCACATCACCCTGGATCGGAGTTGGTGGTGACAAGCCTCGGCCTGGGGGTTCCTCGCCCAGCTGTACGTGCCGCTCACCCAGAATTCTTGCACTGATGGGTTCCCATCATGTCATGTCTATAAATGGGTGCACTTTACTGTTTGAATTTGTAACTGATAAATACTGGATATTTAAGTGTGAGTAATGTCTTCATTAGAAAATAGCAAAACCGCTCTTGTCTTTTAGTGTATTTTTCAAGAAAAAAAAATCAAGCAGTGGATCACAACATTTATAGCACAAGAAATAACTGTTGTATATAAGCATCAAAAAGATTAAGAGTTTTTAAATACAAAAAGAAAATCTTTGCAGTGATTTTAAAGTGCTTTTCCAGCAATTTTCTTAGGGACTCCTGAGACATGGTTACTTTATTTACTGGATCAGTAAGGCACACATTAACAATTAAAAATTAATGTTTATTTACAACGTAAAGGGAAAACCTGTGTAAAGTGAGAATTTGGCAAGGACAAAATGGAGGCCATTTTGTGTCTGCTGTTGCGTCTCTGCGTGCGCTATTGCAGCCCCACGGTAATAGCGCAAGCCCTTCCTCCCCGCGCGCCCCCTTAGTGTTTGACTTCTCCTCGAAGGCTCAGGAAGATTCCACTGATTAGAATCATGTACAGTACTCCAGGTCGTTGTCCAGAGATACAAGTTTGCTAACTATGTGCAGCCTGGATTATTAAACACTTTTCCTAAATTATTGTAAACAGACAGCTTAGAAAAGGTATTCTCCGTCCTTATATTGTATAGTAGTTTATGAATCCCTCTCTAAATATTGGTATTTTTATATTCCAGAGACTACCCAGTAGAAAAACTAATCAGTATCTAATTTGATATCCGTATGTATTTTCCTTAGATTTTAGTCATAACAGTGGGTTATACAGACGTCACCTTGCTTCACCATGCGTCACCACTAGGTGTCACTGTGGCTCTGCACCAGGCTTGTCTGGGAGCAAAGAATGGCCGCATCTGTGGAGGGGCCTCTTCCAGGGCAGCTGGCAGGCCCGTAGGCTCAGAGGTTCAGGAGGGGGGAACAGAGGCCTGGAGAGGGTCTTCACCAGCCCTGCCAGTTGTGGCAAGGGCAGCTCTTTGAACTCTACCTGCTTTGGACCTCCAGCAGAGGCTGGGAGGTTGACTAGGACTCCTAAGTCCGGTGGATGGAGGCTAGATCGGAACACCATTCTCCCCCAGGAGCACTCCTTTCAGCTCTGCTTCACCTCCAACTTTTATAACTCCAGAGGGGTCACAGTTGGGTAGTTTGAGTCAAAGATAGCTATTTTTCTATTGCAGAAATGCCTTGGACAAAACCAGTTGTTCCCTGAGTCTTTGCCACAAGACAGAACAGGCTTCCCAGGGGCCGGATGTGCCCGCCTGCCTGCCTGCCTGTCCCTGGGCTGCCGGCTTCTTAACTTAGCCCCTCTGCGCGGCTGTGGCCGCCGCCCCACCGAGGCATGGGGAGGTGTGTGGCCGTGGCTCCTTTTCCTCTGGCAACTCCAGACTGATCATCCACCATGACTTACAACACGAACCAAGGGCTTAGGGGTAAGAGCTACCTACAAAGACGTGTCATGGAAACCTTCACCATGCAATGCCTTGAACTCAGCTCTGGCTGCTTCCAAGAAAAGGTGGCTGGCTGGGGGCCTGGACACAAGCACAACGGGGCTGGGGGAGCCACTGTGCAGAGCTACTTGAACAATCACTGGGTCTTCATCACTCCTCTAACAGACCAACAAGGGCTGAAGTGTTGGTAACCTGCGTCTCGGTGTCCAATGCCTCACAGCGGCTGAACCACCCTCAGATGCTCATGGCCAAGTGTTGGCCACGGTCAGAGCTTTGAAAGTCAGTACCAAATGAACGTCTAATTGGACACCAAAAATCAAGTGTTACTTTCCTGTTTCCTCACCCACATCATCTCACTCCTTCCTGCTGACGCTGACAGCTGCACTGAGCCGACCGGTCGCGGCCTAGCTGGGTGCCGAGAGATGCGGCTGGCGTCGCTCTGGTTTTTGCAGACACACCTGCCCCGGAAGGGAAGGAGCCTAGCTGATTTGCTTTTGTAGAGCTCGTTGCTGGATTTTTCATTTGCCAATCACTGACCGGGAACACCCGGTTAGGGGGACTCGACGCCACCCCTCGGTCCCCAGGACCAGACAGTCAATTCTGGGGATTCAGTACTTGAATGTACCTGCCTTATTGTGTAACCAGTGTCCTGGGAAAACAGTCAGTCGCGCCGGCCCCAGGCCGCCTCCATCCACAGGTCGCGCCTGTAGGTGACACTTCCGATTCCGGTTTGTTTCCGCTTTCGTTCCACTTTCCTTTGGCTGATTCCTGGGAGTGGGGCCAGTTCCTCGTCAGGCTCAGGGCAGGTGCCATCCTCAGGTGTGGCCACCTTTCCATGCCCCCAAGCACCCCTGTCTCTGTTCTGTCTCCTCCATATCCAAGATTATTTTAATTAGTACAGATATGTACAGTCTACAATTCCAGAGTGATTTGTACTAATATGATTTTGATTCTTCCTCTTTGCTGTCCTTTCAAGACACTTGCTGGAAAAAGCTTTAATGCACTTAGTTTCCTTTAGGTTTTCTATACTCAGCTGTAAAGGACTCTGTACAGTTATCCTCAAGTGCATGTCTGTTCTCGCCCCCGACCTTCGGAACACCACACGGTGGCCACTCCTCAGTGGGGACGGGCCGCCCGCACAGGCGCTCGCCCCTGTGTATAAGGAAAGACATTCTCCTTTGCTGTACTTGCTTGAGCAGTTTTATTGTCTGTACATGTGAGCTGTGTGAGATAGATGTGAAAAGTTCACTGAATGCGTTTTCCTGCCCATGTATACAGAGCACCATCTGTACAATGAACTGTATGTATGAAAGCAAATGTACTTATTTATAAATGGGTAACACTTAGAAAAACACGGCGGTGTGCGCTTTCTCCTTCCGAGACACTGGCCCTGGGCGGCCTCTGCCCTGAGGAACCTCGCCCTGGCGGCCCAGGCAGGTGGAGGTGACGGCCAACTCTGAGGGCTGCGGCCGTGGTCCCAGGAGTCAGCCTGCAGGGGGCGTCCCTGAGCAGCTCTTCCCGGCGCGAGCCGTGGGGGGCACCTGCGCTCCCCTCGCACCTGTCAGCCTAGGAGACCTGCAGGGACCGAGGTTTGTCTCCAGCTGTGCGGGGAGCGGAGGGGTGAGGAGGGGCGTGGGGGGCGGGCAGTTAGCCCTAGCAGTTGCCAAGGCTAAGTTGGTCAGAGCTGAAACCTCCACGCGCAGCGCCCTGCTTTGCCCTTCAGAAATCTGACGAGCGCTAGACCTGCGCAGGAGAGGAAGGTGCACGGGAGGGCGATGCCGATTTCCAGAGCCCCGGCACTTTCCTGCCCAGCTGCTGCCTCTGTCTGCCTCGGAGACGGCAAAGGAGACCACTTTCCTCTGAGGCCTTCCCTCATCCTTGTTCAGCTTTAAGAATGGAGGGCTGACTCCTCCATTTGCAGGCATAAGGACGGGCCATTCTTTTTTTTTTTTAACATTTATTTATTTATGCATACAAGAGCTGGGGTGTAGGCCAGAGGTGCAGGGAGTGAGAGGACTCGCCAGGGAGTGAGGAGCAGAGCAAGAAGATGGACTGAAATACGCTGCTGAGGGGAGCAGCAGGTGAGACAGGAGAGGTCTGCCGCGCCATGTGGGTCGCTCCCCTGGCTGGGATCAAACTCGTGCAGCAGTGGCTGTGGACAGCTGCATGGTGCTGCACGTTAACCCCTTGTGCTCCCAGGGAGGGCCCAGATGAGCCATTCTCGATAAGCGTGTGATATCGGGAGGCCTTGTGATGGAGGCTCTCATAGACGGCACTGTCTCGAGACGCCTGTTACAACGTCCCAGATGCTGGGATCCTGAGGTCACATCTGTCTTCTCCGCTTACCACCTCTGATGGATGATACTGGTCTCTCCCACTGAGAAAGCAGGTCCTGGATGTTTAAATTGCTCAAGGCCAGAGAGGCAAACGTGGGGGCGCTGAGGAGTCAGATCTCCCCAGAAGGCTTCCCCCTGGCCAGTGCCCCCTTCCTGGCCCGCAGCAGCTGAGGAAAGCAAATGCTGGAGGACACCAGGAGGCGCACAGTCACGCTCAGCAAAGGACGCTTGGGAGAAACAACCTCATGCCAAGGTCAAAAGGAATGACCCGGGGCCACCAGGCTCCCCAGCCTAGTGAGAAAGTGATCATCCCAGTGGAGGGGGTTCACCATCGGGGGGGGGGGGGGTGCATTGAGACCCCAGGCTGGGAGGGGCAGGCGCTCTAGCACTCAGAGGCCAGCTTGGGGGGGGGTAGGCTTCTTGCCAAGGCTCACTGGTGTCCAGCTCCGTCTGCAGGCGCCCTCTGGTTTGGGGGAAGGTTCCTCCTGCTCCACAGAACACAGCCCCACCGGCGTGGACAGGCCAGCCTGGGTCAGCTGGGAGCCCTGCCTGGCGTCATGACTCACGGTACCTCCTGCACCTGCCCAGGCTTCCCCGGACTCCCGGCCGTAATAGAATCAGGTCCACGTCTCTGACAGGGTGATGAAGACAACAAGCCAGAGGTCTGCTGTAGACATTTATTGGAGCAGCTGCTGCAGCCAAAAACACAGGACACTTGACAGAAGATGGCCGTGGCCACGGGCAAAGTAAAACACACATCACCTCGAGGCTCTTGGCCCCTGAGCCGGCACACGCCTGGGCAAACACCAGTGTGCAGATGCATGACACATGTAAAGCTCCCCTTCTCTTCAGGGTGCCTGGAAGGGAGCCGCCAGCTGTCCCTCGGTAGTTTGTCGAAGGCGGAGTCCCCAGGTGTACACAGCTGAGTCCGCCAGGCCACACCCAGGCGGGTGGGACCCCGGGGAGGGGCCCTGTCTGCCCTGAGCAGTGGCACCCCGGAGGCAGGACCCCGGCCAGAGCCGTTATTAAAAACTTAGCGTGGAGAGGACGCTAGCCCCTTCCCTAAAGGCAGCGCTAAGATGTGAGAAAAGGCAACCGCTAGAAGAACAGAAATCGGATTTGGAATGTTAATTTCTTCACTATTAATGTCTCAAACTGCTGTGCTCCTCAAAACCCAGAAGACAAGGAAAACAAAGAACATTCCGCAAGTCCAAGAAGCCCAAGATCGATGTTCTAATCATGTTATTTCTAGACTGAGCCAAACAGTGACTCAGCAAACAGCGTGAGACACACCAGCGGCAGAGGAGATTGATCTGACTGCAACTCAGCCCGAACTTTAAGATGCACCCCAGGTAGGAGAGGATGAGGCTTCGCTCTAGACCGGGGCGGGGGGTCCCCCTCACAGAAGGGGGCAGCAGGGCAGCTCTTCGTTTAAAAAAGCCAGGGGCGGTATTTGCTGCTCAAGGAGGGGGCGAGCAGCAAGTGACTGGGCCAGAGCGGCCTGCTCTGGGGACCGGCTCCCTGTCCCTCGGCTGCCCCAGGCTGCCCGGGCGCCTCCACCCTCTCCCCTCTCCCAGCAAAGCCACCTGTGAGTGAAGGGTTAAAGAAAGGGGGGCTCGGAGCAGCAGCTGGGCCAAAGCCGGCTCCCCCACCCTGTCTCCTCTCGGGGACCCTGTTCTGAGCCCCCACATACCTTAGGCATCCTATCACTGCCCTGTGCCAGGCTGGGCGCCCTAGACCGGGGGGAGCCCGCTACACCCGGCAAGCCGCGGGCCAGGCTGCCCTCAGGCCCGTCTCTCCCGGCCCCTGACTCGGCCCAGGCACCGGGGCCTCGGGGGGCACCTGGCTTTTATGACCAGAACAGCCCACCCAAAACCTACCCAGAGCTTCTCCATCGGGGGGACAGGGGCCATAGGGGCAGGGGTCTGCATCTGACTAATGCTCACGTGGCAGCGAGGCCGGCGGAGGGGCCAAGCCCCAAGCCCCAGACCAGGGCTCAGGGGGGCAGCCGCCAGGCCCCCAGCGCTCCCCCTGGAACCTCAGGCCCCGAAGGCCCAGGCGTGGGGGCCGGAAGGGCCGCTCGAAGCCCCGAGCAGAGGCGGCGCCAGGCCCCTCCCGCCTCACTGGGAGCTGGGGCTGTCGCCCTCCGTCAGCGTCTTGAAGTCCATGGACAGCGCCTGCTCCTCCTCCTGCGGCGGCCGCCGCCAGTCGGGCCGGGTCAGGATGCGGAGCACCACGGCGCCGAAGCCCACCAGCAGCAGGCCCAGCACGTTGCCCAGGACGCCCTCGGGCTCCAGCGTGCTGTACTTGGCCCTGCGGGGTGAGGGAGGAAGGGGTGTCAGCCCAGGGGCCCCCGTTAGGCCAAGCGCCACGCACGGCTGCCCCACCGCGCAGCACCCCGCAGCGCGCGGACTCGGGCCACTCACCCGAGCTTGAACAGCAGCGCCTCCTTCAGGCCCAGCAGGGCAGTGCCCACCGAGAGCACGAAGATCGCGGCGCCCAAGAAGACGTGCTGCGGGCGGTAGCAGTTGCGCAGCGAGAAGGAAGCTCCAGGGAACAGGAAGAAGCTAAAGCCCAGGAGCCACTAGGAGGGGCAGGGAGGGGTGCTGGAGCCCCGCGGCCGCGCAGCCGGCCGCCACCCCGCGTGCCCCCCACCCAGAGCAGCCCTGGAGGCGCCAGGGCGCGGGCACGACGGCCCCTCCGGCTCAGTACCGCTCCCCTGGGCCTGGGGCCGGGTCGAGGCCAGACCGGGCGTCCGCTGGGGGCTCAGGTCCAAGGCTACGGCCCTGCTGGCCTGCCTCGCCGGTTTCAGAATCCCACGGCCGCGTCCAGGGCCAGCAGCTCTCGCCTGGAAAGCGAGCGCTTCCGCGGCCCTCGGGGCTCACCTGCACCAGGTAGAGGCCGAAGACCAGGACGCCGCACCAGCTGTGCAGGCTGTAGAGGTCGGCGTAGCCCTGCTTCCGGTGGTAGTCGAACACCGCCACCAGGCCTGGCGGGCGCAGGGAGCCGGCTCAGGGCCGCGGCCTGGGCCCCAGCCCCGCCCCACCCGAGTCCCCGCCGGGATGCCTGCAGGGGAGTGGGACCCGGGACCCTTCTGAACTGGAGGGGCGGTGGCGCCTCAGGCGCTGTGCTTCCAGGGGCGTGGGGGCTGGGCCCCGACTCACCCACCAGGGCGATGATGAAGGCGAGCACATGCAGCACCCCGTGCAGGATCTTGGTGGTGCGCTTGGTCTCGCTCCTGAAGACGCGGTAAACCAGCAGCGCTTACGGGGGAGAGAGAAAGGGCTGTCGGCAGCGGCCCACGCTGGAGGCCTTCCCGCCGCAGCAAGGAGGCACACCCCGTGGACAGGCCATCTCAGGTAGGCGCTTTTCAAGGTACGGCCCCCACAGGAAGTGGAGCAGACAAGCTCCAGGGACCCCACTGGGGTCCTGGGGCAGCTCTGGCCTTCACAGAGGACACCCGGTTCACACACAAACACACACTTTCTTGTGGGTGTTCCAGGCTGTGTTTTAGGGTCATCATGCAGCCACATCATGGTGTCCCCAGCTTCTGAGTTCACCTTCAGGCTGTGACAGTCCTCTCCTCAAATTGTCCAATATAGACAAGCCTGATCTGATAGTGCTTCCAGCTTGCGGTCCCAAGTTGATGCCCCTCGTCTGGTTGAGGTGGCAGGGCCAGGGGGCGAGAGGAAGGCCTCACCCTTCCAGGACGCCTCTGGGAAGAGCAGGCCAGGCAGGTACAGACAGCCCCGCACAGCCTGGCCCCCACCCAGAGCCAGAGCCAGAGCCAGAGCCAGACCCAGAGCCGGGCGCCGGCCCTGCCAGGCCCCACACGCCCGCCCCCGCAGCCTCCCGCCAGGAAGCACCACCCCTCGCGTGTGCGCGGTGAAGCCAGAGGTGGGGCACAGGGGACCTGGGAGGGGAGCAGCTGCCCGCCGCGCCAGCCTCAGCCGGAGTCGGACCCACGTCCCAGGCTCTCAGCGGACTTCTGACATCATGTCTAGGCTTTAGCTTGGTCCAACTGGGAGAGGCCTCAGGGGCGAGAGGTCCCTGCGGTCAGCTCTCTGAGGAGCAGCAGCTGCCCGGCGTGCAGGGTGGACTCACCGTCCCCCTGCAGAAAGATCAGGCCGATGACCATGCAGAGCGGGTGCACGTTGAACTGCAGGGCGCTGTCCCAGGCGATGCCGCCGCGGTACAGGCCCAGCCAAGCGCCCGTCGTGGCCACCACGGCCAGGCCCAGCAGCTGGGAGAAGGCCACGTAGTAAGGCAGCGCTCGGGGCACGGGCGCTCTGCCGGCTCGGCTCTCCATGCTGCAGGGAAGGGGGGGCTTCAGCACGCAGCCCCAGCTCTAAAAGGCCAGGCGAGGGCCCTCTGCGCCCACTCCCAGGCCCTGCCCAAAGCAGGGTGCACGTCCCACCACCTCCAGCAGCTCCCCCGACCTTCCCCAGACGCAGCCCCCGGGCCTCTGTAGGGCCAGCGCTGGTGTGGGGGGGGCCAGGGCTGGCCAGAACCTGCGGCAAGCAGGGCCCTGGCAGGTGCTGGGCTTTGTTCCCATGAGGGAGGCAGGGCGTCCAGGCGATAGAGGGGAGTTAGGGGCGCAATCTGCTTGGAGGTACAGGCTAAGTCACCTTTTTCCTCCAGATGGATCATGAAGCCCACGTGGGGTGAGAAATGGGGCGCCTGCCCCTGCTTGGTGTTTTGGTTCAAAGCTGGAGATGAGTCCTGGGCACCCCAAGGCCCTGCCCCAGCCAGAGAGCAGGCTCCCCTTATTCGGAGAAGGCCCCCACGCCCACCTCGCCCACCTGCACCCCGACAGGACTCGGGATAGAGCACCGGGCAGCCGGCACATGCCCTCAGGCCGGGCCTAGGACACCAAGGAACCAGGGACAGCTGCGTCCCCGAGGGAGGATGGTGAGGCGGGGGCTGGGGGTGGGGGAGCGGGCAGGGAGGCGGCACAAGTTGGCGGGAAGCCTGTGGGGCCTCGGGGCCATCCCGCCCAGTGCCCTGCCCCTCCACAGTCGGCGGAGCCTCATGCCAGCCCCCCATCTCGCCCCAGCCTGCTGGTTCTCCTGACCCAGCTGCCCAGTCCCACACCCAGCGGAGGTGGCGGGGCCCGGGGGGTGGGTGCAGACAGGGCAGGAATCTGGGCCCTGCGCCCACAGGGCCAATTTTGTCCTGTCCCCAAGCTCACACCGCTTTTCTGTCCACTGCAGCCATTCCCAAACACTCCCAGCACCTTAAACCCAGCACGTCCAGTGTCTTGTGGCCCCTCTCCTGGCCTCCGGGGTGGCTGGTCCTTCTAGCCAGCGCTGACCCTGCAGGCACGCTGCCTGTCCTTGGGCGCTCTGGCCGCCTGTCACCTCTTCCCCGGCCGCCTTCTGGGGCACCCCAGCCAGGGCATGAGCCTCTCCTGCCCTCTTCAATCCCCCCGCCAGGCGCGGGGCAGCCCAACTCCCCCAGCGCCCCCCTACTCGGCCACCCAGTCCTGCCCCTGCAATGTCAGCTCCATGGGGGGTCTTAAGTCTTGACCTCCTGCAGTCCCCACACTTTCCTCACGTGCAGGCACCTTCGGGGGCCTCTCCTGCTCCCAGGCTCTGAGCACCAACCCCTGACCGCTCCCCACCACACCCCACACTCCCTGAACCGTCCCCCCCAATCCCACCATCTGCTCCACCACCCCTCCTCTCCAGCCCCAAGGCTGGCCTGGGGCTCACTTGCCTTTCTGGGTGCTCAGCCCGTCTGTGGTGCCTCTGCCAGTGAGCCCCTTGACGCAGGGAAGGCGTCGACTCTCTGGTTCCCTCAGAGATCTAATCCCTGTCCCTCATCTACCAGGAAAGATGCTCCAGACAGAAAAAGGCCACCCTTGGTCACCTGTTCTCTGTCCTCCCTTTATTAGATTCTTCCCCAGAGAGCCTGGGGCGTAGTCAGAATCCGATTAGCCCTGACTTAGGCGGGGACATCATTCAGCCCCTAGTGGGGTTGATCCAGCACCCGCCCGGGGGGGGGGGCAGGGACAGAGGTGGGTACCAGGTGCCCCTGAACCCGAGCTACCCATGGGGCAAACCCAGCCCACTACTCTCCTTCTCCCCATGAGCCGCAGAGGCAGAGGGGCTCCCCACGACTGTGATCTGTGAGACACCGGGGGGCCGGCCCCCCACGCCATCCCCAGCAGGCCTCTCCCCATACACGCCACGGGCGTGAGGCCCGAAGGCCGATGGAGGCCCAGTGGGCCCCAGGAGAATGAGACCGCAGGAATGTGGGTGACTGAGATTTAGGGGCACTTTCAGAAGTCACGTTGTGAGCCTCCTGGTGAAGCCGGCAAACGCCCAGGGGCCAGGTCCCGCCCCGCAGCCGCCCTCTCTTGCCCCAGGCCCCTCGCGCCCTCCTGGCCGCCCCAGCCCTCAGCTCAGGACAGAGACCCCTGCACGGGGGCCATTTACGTCAGGATTTACTGGTGTGAGTCTCCACCCTGTGTATTAAACACGGCCTCTCTCTCCTAGAGACCTGTGAGGTGTTCCTTAGCCTGTGGGTCCCGCCTCAGAAGAACCCAGAGGGGCGGGGGATGTCCCCTGTGTCCCAACAATAAGGATAATAAATAATTGGTCTTTGGGAGGGCGGTTGGAGGGGTCCTGGTCGGAATCTCCCAAGCAAGGAAAGCAAGCAATGTGCTTCTGCTGCGGTAATGACCCCAGGTAGCCCAGAGGGGCTGGTGGCCAAGGGGACCGCTCAGGTGAGTGGAGCAGTGGACATCCCAGTCCCCTGCCCAGCGCTCCACTCCGGGAGGCCACTGGAGCTACAGGCCAAGCTCCAGCGCTCCCTGGGGACCTTGTCCTACGTACCTTTTCCATTTGGTTGTTCCTGAGCTATATTTTCAAATAATAACCTATAAATCTAGCGAGCCAGTGTTTCTCGGAATTCTGTGAGTTGCTGTAGCAGACAAATGAACTGAAGGAGAGGGTCACGGGAAGCCCCGGCTGGCAGTCAGAACACAGGGGACAGTCTGGACTCGGGGGGCATCTGAAGGGGGGCCGAGACCTTCCTCCTGGGGCTGATGCGCCCTCTAGGTCGGCAGTGTCAGAGCTGGGTTCCGTCATGTCCGCTGGGGACTGGAGCCTCGCTGGGGCGTGCGCAGAGCACACAGGTAGGGAGAGAGCGAGGGCCAGCCGAGGCCTTAGGGCACTGCGTGGCGCACGCCTGCCCTGGGTGCACTGGGAAGTCGGGGTGCCCTCACTGCCTGCACTCCACCCAGGGTGGTGGGGTGGAGCTGAGGCTCGAGAGTGCAGGAAGCAAGGGCACCCCTACTCTGTACTCAGCACTTCCTGCACTCTCTTCCTTAACCTGTACAGGTACACTGTGACCTGTACAGGTACACTGTGACCGTAATGGGTTGGCACCTCAGTGACTGGTGAGTATTTACTGAGCACCTACTATGTGCCAGACTCCAGGCCAGATGCTGGACCACGCAGGTAAGACTTGGTCCCCCTTCCGGGGGCTTGCAGACCAGTTACAGAGCAGATGCAGATTAAGAAAAGCTAGTAAGGGCCCAAACCAGAGTTCAGTGCAGGCCCGCACGAGAACTTTCCACTGTCCACGCTGGAGATTGTCCCTGCCTAACGTGCCGATGCCGCGTGGGGGCGCAGAATCGTGAGGGGGGTGGCTTCGCGCGCTCTCGGGCCCAGTCTCCAGGGCAGCGCTGACTGGCTCTCCAACACTGAGGTCGGGGGGGAGCAGCTTTGAAGCAGGGCCCTCACCCCTCAGAGTTAGGCCCAGCACAGCACCCTGGTGGGTTCTCCGGGGAGGAAGGGCGGCAGGAAGGGACAGTGGGCAAGACAGAGGAGAGGGGAGGGCGAGTTAGCCCCCTCAGGACGTGCCTGTCCCTTGCCACAAACAATGTTCTCCTGACTCTGCAGCCTGGGGTCGAGAATGACCTTTGCAATCATGGAGGCCCTCGCCCCCTTCCAATTTAAAGGTGATTCTAAGTCCCAGCGTGAGGGAAGAGAGGGCAACTCACAGCAGGCAGGCCAGCGCCCCGCCTACGTAGCAGCAACCTCACTGTCCAGAAGATCAAATGTGAAAAATCCAGATCTACAAAACAGACAAACCAGTGGTTCTGTGCTTTCCCTGTTGCTTATTCAGTTCAACATAACCTGCAGGCTCTGTGCAAGAGTGTGGCTTCTGCGGCAGGTGCTGTGGATGGACGTGACCTACTCACAGACACATGTGCATCGGTGAACCTTGAAATCAGCTGAGATTCACTCCCAAGTAAGCAAATGCCTTTGAATCATGCTCCCTGGCTTCCCACTGGACAGGGAAGACACACTCTTCCTCACTCCCCCCTCCCCACCCCCAGCACCCCACACCAGAGCAGAGGACCAACTGTTCTTGGCCTGGTGCTCTGAGGGCAGAGTGTGAGCCTGGCAGCAGCAGCCACTCCCCACCCCAAAGGTTTCCAGCAGACCGGACTTGGAAGGAAATGGGGTAGGGGTGCCTCTGGGGGTCCCTTACATGGGACTGCCTCTGTCAGAGATCAGGTGGGGTAACAGATCTCTGACAGCTTCTGGGACGGTTGGGCGGGGGCCCCTCCCACACACAGCTATTTGCAGTCAGACTCCACTTAAAGCAATCAAACAGGCCAGGAGCCACCCTGAGGGCTAGAAGGTGGGGAGCTGAAGCCACTCTCTCTGCTTTTCTCTAAAAGGCCACCAGCCTAATCTTGTTAGCAGCCCAGACAAGGCCTGCGGCCTGGAGCCGGCCAGGCCACAGCCCTCCCTATCCCCAGCGTGGGTTTAATTGGGTTAGGAAAGATTGTGTCTGGGCGGGGCTAGATCTTTCCTTGATAGGGCAAGGAGAAGGCTCAATCAAATGTCTAGAATGATGAAGGCAAAATGAGAACTGAGCGCTTAGGCACTTTCTTCCTGCCCCACACCAAAAAGCCCCTAGGAAGACAGACATTGAGCCCCTTTCTTTCTGAGACACAGGGGCTTTGTGCAGGATCCCAGTACTTGCAGGGCCCACAAAAGTGTTCCATTTGGGCAGGAAAGACAAACTATGAGGATTGAAGAGTTGTTTTCACTTTGAATCCATCCTGGATTATATTTGTCCTGCTATCACTGCAGCTGGGAAGTATACATACACACACACACACACACACACACACACGTGTGTGTGTATACATATATACATATGTGTATATATATATATGTATGTATACATACACACACACACATTTTTTTTTACAGTAGAATGGGCCACAGAGGTACAGGAAGGTCATACAGCAGTCCTGGCCAGACAGACACGGCTTCAAAGCTG